AGTGTAGAAAGCAGTCCTGTTCCCCAGAGCTTTTAATTTGTTGGATTACAATGAAGTAGAAGAAATTTGTTTCCTCTCAGACAATAGGCTTAATGTTTCCCTCACCCAAATATTTCCCTTTCTCTGCACTTTTCCAAGCTGAATTCAGGTGTTCAGATGGACACATGACAGGTGGGATCTCACTGATGCCTCATATGGAGTTTCTTGCTGTTTCCATACGTCTCCTGAGCACAACAGGTATGAGAAGATCTTTATATCTGCTTTGGCCATGGCCAGTGATATCAGTGGGACAACAAAGAACACTCACATTCATGTAAACATAGACCACAGTTTGATTCCTGGGTGCTGGAGTAGACCTTGCAATGATCTCAATAATGATTCTATGATTCCTTGATTCAATCTTATGTAAACTTGTGTGCTTCCCCCAAATCCCAGTGATGCCAGAAAAGCTGGGCCATGGTCTCAGTTTTGTACTCGGTGGGAACATAACCTTTCTGTCTCGTGCTTCTGTTCACACTGGTTGGGACTATCCCACTGAGAAGTGTATTATAAATCTTTCACTGGCAAAAGCTTGCTACTTCACTCTTGTTCTGATAACAGAGAAATTCATCCTAAAGGCTTGCAGAATTCTTCTGCAACTAAAGGGGTGTTTGAAACCTCTGAATAAGAGGCAGATGACAACACACATCTCCTCTATAAACAATACCTCCTAGTTCATCAGTCAAACCAAATTTGGTAATTATGTTAAAAAATAAGGAAATGAAATAGAGGAAAGAAAGAAAAGCAAGTTGCTATTCAGCTGAAGTCCTCTAGTATCTAATAAACTGGGTATTATAGCAAAATTAAAGAGGAAACATATGATGGCAATATTAAGACCAAAGGCCATTAGTAAAGAGAGACACTGCCAAAGCCCACATTCAGTGATATCTCTGTGCTAATGGACATAACATTCATTAGCACACCCAGGCTCATTCTGGCTCCTGTTAGTGGTATACTGTTTGCTTTATGCCTCTACAAGTTGTCTTTCCTTTCCTGTTTTCTCCATCACTAAACTGAAAGCTATTTGACAGATTCTGGCATCTCTATTAAATTGTGGGAAACATGGAAATGATTAACTTTTGAACCACAAAACTGAAAACACCCTTGCACGTTCTGAAGCCAAAGCAGGTTGTGCACTAGGCAGGTTCATCTGATAGGGTTCAGAGAAGTAGTGGGAGGGTGAGGGGAGAAGGGAGGGAGAGAGACTGGCCCCATTGGCTTGGATTCGGGTTTTGTTGTTGTCATTACAGATCAAAAGGCTGTAATCACCCTTTCTGATTGCTCCTTCCCTAGTAAACAACCTCCAAGTGAGTTCATTAAATATTAAAAAGCCCTGATATCTATTAATGTTATCGGACACATGAAATATGCCTGATGGATTTATTCTGCTGTAAAGGAACCATATCCCAGTGTCCCTCCTGGGACCATGCTCCAGCTGTTTAAACTATAATTCCATCACTAGGAGGAACAGTTGAGGCTGACCTCCACGAAATGTACTCATTGTTGCTCAGCCTGTGAATTGTAAATGAAACCTTTTGTAATAATGTTAAAATATGCATGTGGAGGAATTAAAGCATAGGAGGTCAGCAGCAGAGCCTCGCAGTGGGGTCGCTGTCGGCTCAGAGCAGCTGGTGGCTGCACTCCAGCAAAAATGATACCTAGAGGTTGTTTACTGGGTTGGCTGCATGCATGACTGGACTTGACGGATCTATCGCTGCCTCTCTGTGAATCCCAATCTGTTTCTGATTGTCTTCCTCTTCAGTGTCATTTTGACTGCCTTGCTTTTTTGGAAGAGTTACATTTCTGGTTACCTTGTCCCCTCTTCAGTGCCAGAGTCCTTTATTGCCCAATGTGGGATCATTAAAATATTATCCCACATTTTAAGCCTTAGCTTTCCACATATTGATTTTGCTTCTGCTTTCTAGTTATTTATGACATGAACACTATATACATGGCCATGGAAGAAGGAGCATATGCATAAATTCCAGCTAGTAAAAACAGTGAAGTATGGGACAGCTTTTCAGTTTGGATCTGAAGGAGAAAAAAATTAACCATCACCAGGATGAACCTTGGAAATTTGAAAGGGTTTTTAATGATGCCTTGGCCAAAAAGCATAAACTGGACGTATGAACAGTAGGTTCTTACCCTCTAGTTCGATGCATTTAGGGAAACATGCCAAACTCTTGCACTATCCCTGCTGTTCTGCTATTGTGACACCACCTTTTTCATATTTAATGTTCTGTGAAAGTCCTCAAATGACTGAAACATCTTAGAAGCTTTACAAAAATCAAATGTTCAAAAAAAAATATGTGACAAAGTTTAACACAAAGACATGAGGCAGCCTCTCTACTGTGTTTACAGCTAGTTACCTGATAGCACATCTTCAGTGCTAGCAGGTCAGTCCCAAAAGTCAGGCAAAGGCTTTACCTTGATATTGGCAAGGCAAGGTTTTCACCAACTTTGCATTTTTGTCACTATGTTCTTCAAAATCCAAGGTCACCTCAGACAGCCCAGTGAAATAACTGGGCTTGCAGGTTTTTAGTAAAGGCTTCTTAAACTCAGGGCTAAGGACTAGACATGGAGTAGGGATTTGAAAGATTAGTCCTTGACCTTTCTCTTTTGGAGATCTAAATTTAAATGATGAAAAAGAATTTTTCACTCTCATTTGAGTCATACTTTTCCAGAGCAGAAAAAATCATTATAGTGTCTGGCTCTATATGATGTTTCCACTGAGATAAAGTGGTAACACCACTGGCCCAGACCAGTTACCTCTGAAAAACCATGTGAAGTGGCTTGGGATAACAACAGCTCACATGACACCTCATTTCTGTTTTAACTCTACACCTGTCTGCGCACCATAGGAGGAAAAAAAAAAAAAAAAAAAAGAGAGAGATTGAGAGAAAAAGGTTACACTGTGTGAATAGATTTTGCTGCAGTAAAAGGATTAATTTAGACCCATTCTTGCTTTCTTTAAATGAATCAAAACTTTCATTGTCTTCAGCTAACCTAATTCTTTGACAGAAATAGAGGGAGATTTGGTTATATTATTCATATAAGAAAAATCAGAGAATTTTTTTCAGGTCCTAATCAGGTGCTGACCAAAACAGATATAGAAGAAAAATGAACTGAGCAGCTTAACTTTAATGCCCTGGCTTTGTTCTCTTGAGAGATAATATTATTGTAGAGTCTTTCAGTTACATTTTAAAATCAGTTTCAAAAGGCCATGCATTAAGAGCACTGAGAAAACACACACAGATTATTCATAGCAACGTAGAGGAGCCCATTTAGATAGTGAATTTCAGGCTGTTTTGCTTTCAGTTACACCAGCACAGACTTAAGGCTCTTTGCACTGAAGAGTGTGTCCATTGTGCAGCTTCCAGCATCCATATTCGGTTGCCTGTGAGCAATGTCATGAGCAGCCCTGTGGATGACATGCCGTGCTACATCATGAATGACCCTAAGACCACCCCAGGTGACAGTATAGCAACGCCTTCTGAGACTTTCACTTATTTTGGCCCAAAAGGAACAGAGCTGGATCCCAGCAGGATTTTCTCTTCATCCTTCCAGGCTTTAGACTAAAAGAAACAGTATGGGGAAAAAAATCAATTTTCTCTCAGATTTTCTTTAAGTAAAACATTTGAAAAGGGATGCAGAGAGGGAGAGAGAGATTCTTGATAGTTATTAGCCCTCTGTTTAGCTTTACCCTTTCCCAGATGTTGGTTCCCTGGGGAATTCAAGCAGACAGACCACGGATCATCAACAGCTGGCATCTGAACAGCACTGTGCAGTTAATAATGATTCACAACCACTACACCCAATCTTGCTGGCATTTACTTTAGTTAGGACAGAGCCCAAATATGCTTGCAATTAGAAAGGAAGCAAGAATGTAACAGAAATACTGCTTCTTTTTAAACAAGTAAGTGTAATTTTTCATGTAGACTTGGGACTGTGCCTGTAAGTAATTTGCTTTTGTCAAATGGAACATGAAAACCATGCACCCATTTCTGCAAATGATTACTCATAAGTGCAGTCTTTGCTAGCACAAGCACTGGCACTGAAGTCAACAGCAGTTTAGTGTGGGTAAGGATTACTCGTATGAGGAAGGGCTTTCAGGATTGGCCCCTAGAGAGGTATGTGAATACTCCTTCATGGGACATAAGCTTCAGGGAACTCAAAATAGGTTAATTCCATGCCTGATTCATTCCATGGACCATTTAACGAGAGCCTCTGGAATTGTGCAGTCAGTAATGAACTGCCAAGAACTAAAAGTAATCACTGCTGCAATTATTAAAATTTACACTTGGATTCTGTTACCTTTGTGGCAGATATGGGTCTTGAATTAAGTGGCCCAGAAATCCAAGGACTTCCCACAAACAGTTCAGCAGCCCTTTCAAAACCACAATCCTTTCACTTATTACCAGATTTGCTGCTTCACAAAAGTGCTGTTATAACAGCTTATTTTCTAGCATTTTTAACAGGGTTCTTGTATTGTGAAGATGCACAAAAAGACTGCTATATCACTAGTAATTCTGAGATGATAGATCATGTAAGACTTTTTTTTCTTTTTTAAAATTTAAAATATCTGATCATTCCCCATGACCTGAAAAATGTTCCACATTTTCCCTTAGGGAAATTTGATGAACTATTTTGTAACTTTTATGTCCTTACATTTTTCCAAAGCCACATAAGATGTGGACATATCTTATTTGGGTAGTCCTGTATTTCCTGTATTACCATGGCTAACCATGAAAACCAAAAGCAGCTTCGTTCTGTAGAATGCTGAGCTTCCTGGCCCTGGTCCAGCAAAGCACTTGAGTACAGGCTTAACTTTGAGCACATGCATCTCATTGGAGTTGATGAGACTACTCATCAGATGCTTTCAGATCAGCTGTCTGATGGGTTTCACCCTAGGATACTTTAAAAAATGGGTGGAAAAACATGAGCTCCGCTTGTTATTTTAGAAAGAGGGAACATTGTTCAAACAACAATGAAATGGTGTAGCTGGTGCTGTTGTTAAGTGTAGACAATGATCTCAAGTTCATTTTTTACACAGTGCTGGAACAAATAATCAAATTAACTGTTACTATAGACCAGGGAGAAGACAGAAGCACAAGAAAGAGTTGGTGTGGATTTGTCAGGAACAGCTGATTTGCAGTAGCTCTGCGGGAAATGCTCTGGGGATGGCACTGGTTTATAAACAGAACGTGAGTCAATAGTGTTAAACTACTGGGGGAAAAAAAAGAAAAGAAAAAAGAAAAAAAAAAAAGCAAACGTCTTACATCTTACAGAGTTTTATAAATAGGAGTATATATATGGAGAGACAGCTAGAGTGATCTTTTTGTCCTCTTTGCTACTGGTAAAGTCTCTGCTGGAGCAGTGTGACTGCTTTTGGGCACCTTGGTGGAGGACTTTACTCCAACTGGAGAGCATACATTAGAGAGTGATGAAAATGATAAAAGCTTCAAAAACATTACATGTGAGGAAAGGCTGAAAAGCTTGGAGTTAATTTTGCTGGGGGATATTGAGGGAAATTCTAGTAATCAAGTACAGGGTAGAGGTAGCTAGGACAGGAATTCAAACTGCAATATAAAAAATTCAGACCAGACATAAGGAAGGATTTTGAAGTGCTAAAACCAGTGAAGCACTGGAGCAGGATGTCTGCTTCACACTATTTACACCCTGTAAGCAGAAGTTTTGGGGGCAGGTTAGTTAAACACCTGCCAGGGGTGCACTATGTCAACCTGTTCCTGCCCTGGGACTGAGTGAGTGGCTGGGCAAACTCTGAGGTCCCTTCCAGCCAGTGCTTGCTTAATGTCTCAGCTGGTGTGTCTGAGTCTTATTCTCTGTGTGTCACACATTCAGCTTTGTAAAGGACAAGGATCTGAAGGCCGAGACAAACAAAACAATTGTATGTGAATAATTCTATAGGGAAAAAAAAAAAAAAAAAGACCTTGTTACACTTGAGGTTTAGGGGCAGGTTACTAGGAGTATGAATGTACCTAAAGAAGGTACTGCAAACCATGTAGCTCAAATTGTCTGCATTTCAATTACCTGTTAAAATCATTGGCATGGATATTGATGTGTGGACCTGTATCTGTTTTGATATATGCCCTGCTATGCCCTTAGTGTGACTGCTAGAGGCTCAGGTGTGTGCTTTTGAAGGGGGTGAATCTGCCTCTCCATGGAGAACAGGACAGTGGAGGCTTGGAGCAAAAAAGAACAGAACACCTCAAGGCTGATTCAAGACTTCAGGGCTTGGTGTCAAGCCTCCCTTCATCCATGTTTCTATGGCCAACAAAGAGGAAAGTGTGATCAAAACATTAGAGAATTTCTCCTCTATCTAGTATGTTCCAAAAAACATTTTTTCAAGAGGAGGACCAACCCTCTATGTGGAATTCTAATACTTAAATTTTCCTTCTGCTATTTGTTCGAGTGACAATAATGAACTTTGTTATCCACCCGCAGCTGGATGGATAAAGTATAGGATGTATATGGTTGAGTATTTATTTAAAAATTCTTTGAGGTTAAAACTTCTAAAATTGCACACTTTAAATAGTAAGCATTTATAATTAGACATCTAGGAAAAATATGTAATTTTTGTGCTGTTTCAATTATGCATTAGAACAAAATATGATACCACTAACGAGTAAAATAGCTTGATAGCTAAAATGTTGAAGTAATGCTCCAAAACCTCATGTTGTGTGTATTTTTAGCCCCATAAACATATCTTTCATACCATTCCGTTTAAAACAACATCCATGATGTACATATATTCTCAAAGTGTAGACATTATGATGAGGGGATTTGGCTTTGGTTTTCAGACATACTGATTGAAAAGCATTCATCCTTTGATAAAACAAAGTCCACTTCACACACTAGTATACTTCTGGTTGAGTAGTGGGGTCCAGGTCACAAAATGCACATCTGCTGCTATCTGAGTCCTCGTCTGCTTGCTAGAAAACTCCTAGGACTGTGACCACCACTCTCAGCCTCCTAGGAAGATGAGATTAACCTAATAAGTCATAATGTGTAGATAGAATACTATTATAACATTCAAAAATTAATTATTTTTTCATATTTTCAGACTGTAGGTCCTTCAGAGAGGAGATCCAATCTGTCCTGCCAGGTGATTTTACTGAGGTCTATTGTTTAATTGGATTTCTACACTCTTGGTGTAGAGCAGATGAAAACTTAAGCACAAGTTCTGATACAATAAGAGACTAATAATGTAATCTCTACCAGGTTGTAGAGGGTTATGGATCTAAGGATCTATGGATCTTCATGTTTTGTGTAGTATTGTTCCCAAGGTAACAAATATGTGCATGGATCAAAGTGGTTTGCCTTAGGACAAGAGGGTATGCTTATATTTAACCATTTCCCTCATTTATGGCAATAAAAAAACAAACCCACATTGTGCTGGCAACCTGTTGCTTTCTTGATCTTTCTTATCCCTTCTAGCTTGTCCCTAACTTTTCACAAAGCCCAGTCTCCCCATACAACCTTGCTATAAAGGCTGCCTCTCCGCTCCCTGGGCTACTTTTCTTGGGATTACTAGAGATCCCTCCATCAGTTCATTGTCAACAGGGCTTGAAAAACAGAAAAACCCTTTGGCACGAACCTGTGCTGGGCTCCTGCCATCAGCTAAGCTGCAACAGCTTGGTATATCCTCTTTCCTTACGCAGCTGGGTCTTCAGCCAAAGTAAGAAAATACTTTCCCATTCTTAAAAAGAAAACAGAAAAAAAAAAATGCAGCATCCAGAGTGGGCTGGGTTGTTTGGTGAGTTAGGACTGTTATTTTGTTATTTCTAGGGATGGGGGCACAAACGTGCATGCATCACTCTGCTTTGTGTACAGACTTCAGCCACAGACACATTTCCTTTTGGACCCTGGCAGAAGAACAACTGTTGAGAAGAGAGGTGATACTTGTTTTTTGCTGTTCTACTTTCCCTACTGGAGGAGAGGAATTCTGCTCACAGACTCTTCTGCCATTCTCGGATTACTGTACTGATAAAAATGAATAGGAAAGTTTTAAAAGGATAAAAGAATAAATACTTTGGACACCTATGAGCATGTAGGCCTTACTTGAGACAAATGGAAATATTTCTGATTATTTAAGGCGAGTCTGGACCAAACTCTATGCAACTGGCATAAAAGCAGCTCTCTTGGCATAGGTAGAACCTATGCTTGTTCTGGTATGCTCTGTTATATATTAAATTGGTTGATGTGGGTAAAGTGGTGAAAAGATTAGCCTTTTTTTCTCTCATTGCCTTTGTTCTAGTTGAAACACCAAATTCATCAGAGAAGAAAAATTTTCAGGTGCTATATCTCTAGACTGATAATTTAATTGTCTACCTCTTCTTCTTTTTTTTTTTTTTTTTCCTCTGTTTTTTTTTTTTTTTTTTTTTTTATGTTATTATTTTGGATTTTGCTTTGTGGTGGTTTTTGTTTGTTTATTTTTTCTTTTATTTATACTTTGTCTGTATATTGTACATTCAATATGTCTATTGACTAAGATACAAAACAAGTTCCTTATTACTGCCACAAATCCTTATTTACTTGCAGGGCTTTGTGATGAGAGTGCCCTGCAGTACCTTGTCTATGAAAACAAATTGTCTTGGGGGTTCTGAAAGACCGTTTTATTCCTTTTTCTGATGTTATGAGACAGGGATCTAAATGCCTCGTGACTTGCTCCTGACTGACACAGGAAATGCAATATCTTTAATACACAAATTTAATGGGAAAAGATTGTCCTGTTCCCTGCAAGAAGCTGGGCTCTTGCTTGCCTATTTGGACCAACACATTCTATTTTAAAAAGATTTATTGTGGAGGCTGCATTCTGTATATGCAGTAGATTGCAACAAATGTGCATCTTCAGAGTATATTTCAGGCAGTATTTTATGGTTACTATTAAAAGAAGCCTATATGTTAAAATAAGAAAAACAGACAGAAATGACATCTATTGTGTATTACTAACATGCAGCAGACAACATGCAGTGACAGGCATTACGTCTCTTTTTACTGCTTACCTGCTGAAGCTACCTCATAACGTCCCAATAAACTGTTACAACCAAATTTTGTATGTGGCATAGTGCTTCTAAGACTAAAAGTATTATTTATAATACCTTATTTATTAAGTATTATTTATAATATGGAATAAGATGATCTAGAGGGCCGAATCCAACTGGGCTGCTGGTGGGCAGTATATGGTGTGTTTTTTGTATTGTTAACCTGTTAACTTAAGTCTTAGGGTTATTTGATTTTGATTTTCTGATGCAGCGTTACCTGGTACAGGTAGTATTAAAGAACTAGTTGTTAATATAAGTGAAATGAAATTTTATATCATGAATATGAAGAACCTGAAGTGTTGCAGTTAACTAGATGAATAAAAGGTAGCTGATTTTATTTATATATTTATTTATTTTCACACATATTCTGAAAAGATTCTGCATATAAAATTCAATTCATGCTCTCTAGCTGGAGAAGAAATGGTGAGACATAATTTAATTCTTTACATTAGGTACCACAGGAAATTATTTTAACTCTTTTTTTCCTTAGAAAATATTTCTAGGAATACACATCTTTCTGTGAAAATGATCTGATGTTCTTGTGATGCCACAGATTCCACTTTGTATAAACATTCAGGAGCTTTACTAGCCATGACATAAACTTGTGAAAATGAAATTATAAACCACAGCTTCTAATCATTCCACCATTAAATTAACTTCAGGTTATGTCCTTAGTCTTAACATTTAAAATTTGAAAATCTGTCAGTTCCAAGTCTGAAAAGTTTGAAAGTCTTTCAGTTCCAAGATAAATCAATTAACAAGCAAGCAAACAAACAAACAAACTTAACTTCTGAAAGTGACAAATTAAAACTGGAGCTCAAAATTCAAGTGTTGGATGTTCTCAGAGTTTATAACAGTTTATAAGGAAGAATAATTCATACAGTAATCTATAAATAATATAAATAATGAATGCATTTGAGATTTTCTCAGTTGGCATACAAACATTTAATGATCACAAGTGGTAGTGATGTGGAAAATGTATTGTGCTTATACATATATATTTGACTTGCTTATACATATATATAATGGATGCCCTACAAATTGTTTTTTTCCTTCCCCCAACACTGCTGGTTTTTGCAATGCTGCTTTCTGCTTTGGTCTAATACCACTGTTGGAGCTGTGTCCTTGATAGTAACCTGACCAGCAGATGAAAATCTGATAGTTAATAATCCAAACCCTAATATGTATAATCATAACAAAAATGCCATCTTAAATATATAAGGATCTTGGGAGATGTTTACCTCTTAAAAAATGATAAGAGAATAATTCTGCATCTGCAAAATTGGGACCTCTACATAATGCTCCTTAGAGTAAATATTTCTGCCTGTTCATAAAACTTCATTCAAACTTCCTGTCTGCACACACTGTTCCTAAACTAATTAAATCTCAAAACTATAGAAAACATGTGAATTTACACTGACTAAATCAATGTACTGTCTAGGTTAATGTAGAATCAGGCTCAGCTAGCTTGCTCACAGGTCCTTAATGATTTGCTCCAGATCAAATTTACAGCCAAAGTAAGAAAAAAAAAATCATGGATCTGTCCTAGGGCATGGATCTTCTGGGTACTGCTGGTTCTGCTGGAAGAAGCTGACAAGTTATATCCCTAAGATGCCACCAAAGGAGAAGCTGAAGGCCTGGGATTCCCATGGAGGGAAGGGCTGCAGACATCAGCAGTATTTTTTTTTTCCCACCATGAAGGAGCTGCTGTAAGCCCAGTGACTGCAGATGACTGACAAAGGCAGTCTTTGCTTATGAGGATACAATGACAGACAAAGGATGGGGATGGGAGTTAGTTCTGCAGACTGCTTTTTCAGGGCAAATTAATCATAACCCACATATCTAATTTATTGGGGAACATGTTCAGCTGGCATTCCTCACAGCTGACATAAATGATGCAGGAGAGCACTGCTAGCACCCAAATGCCATGCCAGTGTCAGCTTCAGCACTGAGGTGTGTTGTGGGCAGCCGAGCAGAGCAGCTGTGTTCCCTGATGCATGGCTGTAGGTGGAGGTGTCCAAAGTTTCCCACTGCCGTGCAGGCTAGCCCTTTGGCTCCATGCCCCAGCCCAGCTCAGGAACACAAAGCACCTTGCTGAGCAATGGCTGTCAGTGGAAGTCATCTTTTTTTCTTTTTTTTTTTTTTTTTTAAATTCCCCAGTGACAAATACGCTTGTCTTCTCTAGCATCACGTGGTGAGATAGTAGTACGTAACCCTGCTTCAGACCAGATGAAGCCACAACCATTCATGATTTTCCATTTTGTATCATATTAATTTGGGGGGGGGGGAAGGGGATGGAGGAGGAGGAGGGCAGAGAAAAGGCTTTGAATCCAGACAGACATGTGTGCTTTAAATTATGTTTTGTGAATTGAAGCAAGGCAGATGCTTCCAACAAGCACACATTTTGCTACTGTTTGCAAAGCAGACACACACTGGCACATGGTTGTAGGACATGAATTATACTTCTGTGCTTCTGATTTGTAACCACACCTGTATACCCTTAGAAATGCTAATAGAAAAAATATGAATTTAGGCACAAAAGAGAATCTAATAAGAGGAACATTTGAATGGGTAAGGAAATGTCTATTCCCCCCACACACACACCCCCCAGTCATTAGGACTGGAGGAACATGCTTATAGTAATTAGGTAAGATTGATTTAGAGGCCGAACACCACCCACAATTTGTGTAGTCTGGGGTCAGGCAGGCAGCTGCAGAAACCGCTCAGCTAATTATGAGAATTCACTGTTCGTTAATAGAATCTCTCTCCACAAACAGCAGCTGTGTGTTTGCTCACGCAGATTATTAATTCTGGCCTTGCCTCAGCTGCAAGTTTCTGCTGCGTCGAAAGGAATCCTCTGATAGAAGTGTCAGTTATCACCCAAGCGATGCCAGGGGAGAAAGGAAAAGCAGAAAGAAAGGAGAATATCTTCTAATCACAGGTGGATAAAGATTTTTTTGCAGATACCTTCCTTTTCTGCCTCTTACTCCCAAACAATTAAATGCCAATTTTGGAACTCATTAATCTGTAGGCAACCTAGCGAGATCTAATTTATACCTGTCAGGAGCAATGGGCAGCAGCTAATAGGAAAATAATTGCAATATAAGTCTGCTTTCCCACTTGATAGTATGCTTGATTTTAATGACAATCCTTTAATATGGCATCATCAGAACATTATACAAGATCATTGTCTACATCAGATCTGCAGCTATGTCCATCTTCCTGTCAGTGTCATATTAAAAAAATAAAAAAAGGACATTTGTATTTTCCTCCAAAAATTAACAGAAACACAGTAACAAATGCGGCATATGATCATTTGCAGAAATAAGCTACAATTTCTTACAGAATGACAAAATAGGGTCAGCTTTATGTGAAAGATTCTATATCTCCCCATGTAGATAGATGTAAAATTTGCTGGAAATGATTTGCTGTTAAATTAAGTTTTGAGTAAATCTTGGCTTAAAGTAAATACTAAAACCCATTATTGTGTTAATAAGGACAAAATGCTTCCATAGTTTCTTGAATTTGATAATGGTATGTGTTAGTTGTGTTTGTTTTTTTGTTTTGTTTTGTGATAGCCTAATTTCCTCTCTGAACTGTCTTGGTGTTCAGGATGAACCGTCTGGTATTCAGGTAGCATGGCATCCTGAAAAATTCACTAACATTCTCAGGAATGTTGACATATCTGTGAACAGAAGGTTCCTGTTGTGAAAGATAAAACATCCATATTGTGCATTTGGATGGAGATGTGTGGGAGGCATGCAAAATATACCCATCTGCACAACTAAAGGGGAGCAAGAGCCCCATCTTTACATTGCATTGCCTTGTGAAATAGGTACATCATGATTGCTTAGACCATTTAACTAGGCCAGGATATAAAGATTTTCTTCACAGTGTGATTGAGCATCAGTGTGGGGGAATGCATCTGATGCAATGACTTAGTAAGAGCTGTATTTTTGTAGTAAATATAGCATACTGATGACCGTTGGAAAATTAAAATGTTGGTAGGCAAACCAGATCCAATTAATCTCCAGCATATCTCTGTTTATTTCAACATTGCAGCAAATTTGTCCCATGTACAAACTTGGTCCAATGTGTTTTGCTGCTGCAACTGCTGGTACTCAGAGAAAGGGCAGCATGGGTCAGTGGACTGTGACAAGGTGATATAAAGCCCTCTAACAAGTGTTTTTGAAAAATAGCTTTTCCCTATAAAAGTGAAATGGGAAAAAAAAATCTGTGTAAACATTTCAGATTTTTTTTTTCACCAAAACAATTTTTATTTTTGAGAATCCCTCAAAGTTTCTGCAGAAG